CAGATCCGCTATCCCGCCACGCCCGTGCATCGCCGCGACGCGTGCCCGCCTAAAGCGGGGCCGTTTTACATCCGTGCGTGGCGAGAGACCTAGTCGCCGCACCGTGAACGCAAAGACGGTTACGGCGCTACACCGATCGAGCCATATCCAGCTAATCGAACGACTGAACCTGAATGTAAACATGCCAATGCACTAATCCTATTTACATCATGATCATGATCGTGCTCGGGATTGAAACTAACATTTCACCCCTGATCCCGATGCACATCTATCACACCTAGCTTTTGACGAAGCTCCATGAACCTGATCTTCCCAAGAGCCTTTGTCGGGATGTCCGCAAGTTGCTCATGAGTACTCACATGGCCAATGTCAACCTCTCCTCTGTCCACACGATCCACGAATGAAATGGTATCGTGTATCTATGTGTTTACTCCTGTCATGATGAACTGGATTCTTGCTTAGAGCAATTGCCGATTTGTTGTCAACTAACAGCTTCACTTTTGGTGCCTGAACCCCCAACAGCTCTCCCAAAGAGCCTGCTAAGCCAAATGCTACGACATGCTGCGTTTGCACTTGCAATGTACTCCGCTTCACAAGATGATAATGCCACAACTCTCTCGCTTACGGGATGCCCAAGTCACTAGGCTTGTTCCAAGCGCAGAACACCGATCCTTTGGTGCTTTTCCTATCATCAACATCCCCAGTGCAGATCACTATCATGAAACCCGTCAAGTTTGGTTCAGTTGTCCCTTGCTTTTCTCAGAATGCAGCCATAATTCACTGTACCTGCTATGTACCTTAGAATTTGCTTTGACTGCTGACCAGTGACTTCCTCTTGGGTCTTCCATATACCGCTAACAATGCCCTCTTGAATAAGCAATGTCGGGCCTTGTGTTTACTAGGTATCTGAGGCTACCAATAAACCTCCTATACTTGGTCTTATCAACAGGTAGTGACTTATCATTTTTGCTCAATTTCAGCCTATTCTCCATTGGCACATGACAAGGATTGCATCCTTTCATGCCTGCATTTTCTAGAATTTTCAAAGTGCATACGAGCCTTGACAAAGTGTTGTCACTCCCTCCTTCATTCAACCTGAATGCCCAAGTAATAAGTGAGTAAACCAAGGTCACTCATCTGAAACTTTTCTTCATCTCCTTTTGAACTCATCAATTGCCACCTCACTTGATCCTGTGATAATCGGATCATCCACATACACTCCTACTAGAAGATAGCCAAGCTTATCTGTTCTTACGTAGACCTGCATGCTCCAAAGGGTTTTTCACAAAACCAAGTTTGAGTAGCTCACCGTCCAACTTCTCATTCCAGGCTCTTGGGGCTGTCGTCAAGTCCATATGTTGTTTTATTGAATCGAGTACCTTGCCATTGCTTCCTTTGACAACAAATCACGGAGGTAGCTGAACATATACCTCCTCTCTCAGATCACCATTAAGGAATGCTGATTTGACATCCATGTGATGTACTTTCCATCCTTGCTGTGCAGCCAATGCAATTAGCAGTCTGGCTGTTTCTATCCTGGCCACTGGTGCAAACACCTGATCAAAGTCCACCCCCTCATGCTGTGCATACCCTTTAGCCACTAACCGAGCCTTGTGCTTGACAATTTTGCCTTCAGGGTCCTTTTTTACCTTAAACACCCATTTTAGCCCAATGGCTCTGTGACCTGCAGGTAACACTGACAACTCCCATGTTCTATTAGCCTGAATTGAATCCATCTCAGCTACCATGGCTTTCCTCCAACACTCCTCATTCAGAGCCTCATCAACATCTTTAGGCTCCTCTGCAGCAAGATAGCACACCCCACTGTATTCAAAATCAGTGATGGCATCAGTTGTTTCATTAATGTTATCAATTGTTCTGAACCTCATCTGCCTGCCTTCTGAATCAACTGATTCTCCTGTAGGTGGAGTTGCAAATTGTATATCTTGCCCATTTGGACTTCCGGTGGTGTTGATTGATTGGATGCATTGCTTGAGTTAGTGTTGAACTCCCAATCAACTTGAGAAGGTGATCCTTGATCATACTTGCCTTTGGATCACCGCCGCTTCTGCCTGCATTTTTCGAATGTTCAGTTCTGTTCCTTGTCCGATATGAGAAAAATACTCCACATCAAGGCCCGATGCCTCTCTCGCTTGATTGGATTTCTTGCTTCCAATCCCAAGCTCGATTCTCTGAAAGATGACATCACGAGATATGTGGAGTTTCTTGGCCATGTGGTCATACACACGATAGCCTTTTGTCCCTGCTTCATAGCCCATTAACACCATAGGTGTTGATCTATCTGACAGCTTGTTGACACCAGGACCTGCTTTCTTCACATGAACTACACTCCCAAATGTTCTTAAATGATCAACTCTAGGCTTCTTGTTGTACCAAGCTTCATATGGTGTCCTACCCTGTAGACTTTTGGTTGGGGCCCTGTTCAGCAAATACACTGCTGTAGTTACTGCTTCTCCCCAAAACTCTCCTGGCATATTCTTGCTTTTCAGAAGGCACCTAGCCATTTCCACCACAGTACGGTTTCTTCTTTCTACAACTCCGTTCTGCTGCGGTGTGTAAGGTGTAGTGGTGAAGTGTTTCAGGCCCTGCTCATCACAGAATTCCCTGAATTCAATTGAATTGAATTCACCACCCCTGTCACTCCGAAATGCTCTAAGTTTGCTGCCTTTCTCATTTTCAGCAAGTGCCTTCACCTTCTTGAAACATCTGAAGGCTTCATCTTTTGTTGCCAGGAGCTCAATCCACATGAAACGACTATAATCATCTACTATGAGCAGAAAGTAGCTCTTTCCTCCTGGTGTCCTTGGTCTGATCTGCCCACAAAGATCAGTGTGGAACAAATCCAATGGACTGTCTGCTCTGAATTTTGCCACCTGAGGGAATGAATGGCGTGTTTGCTTGCCGAGGGCACATCCATCACAGAACTCTTCCAACTTGTCTATCAGAGGCATGCCATCCACCATGTTCTTCACTCCAAGCTCACGAAGTCCTCGAAAGTTAAGATGGCCATATCTTGCATGCCATACCCAAGCCATATCATTAGCCTTGGCCACTAAACACACTGGTGCTGCAAGATGAGTTTTCAACAGGTACAGACGATTTCTAACTCTTGGTGCTCGAACTAGCAGTGCACGTTCGACATCATACACATTGCAGAAACCATCTTCAATCACAACTTTGCAACCACCCTCCTCAAGTTGACCCAAGCTAACAATATTACTCTTTAATTTAGGAATGTAACAGACCTCTGTGAGTACCTTGTGTCCCTGAGCTTTGGACTGGAGCATCACTGAGCCAATCCCCTCGATCTCGACGAGTGATCCATCACCGAACCGAACAGATTGCCACGACTGTCGTGTCCAGCGACGCCAGTGCTTCTCGACGCCCGTCATGTGATTACGGCCCGTGTCAAGGACCCAGATCATCATGATCTTGATCTCTGTCTCGCTGGATGCACCTTCTTCTCATTGAGATGCACGACGTGACGCGTCGCGCACCCCCGTTCCGGCTCAATGTCGCGCGCATGGACGCACACGGCGTTCACCGTGGCCAGCAAGATCGATGGATGATCGACATCGGCTTGGGCGTGGTGCGCCTCCTCCTTGCACTCCTTCTTGGGCTTCTTGTAGTCCTCCGCCCAGTGCCCATAGATGCTGCAATTTCTGCAGCGCCCTTTCCTCCTCGGCGTGCCCATGGACGTCAGCTTGACGACGGGCCCCTTCTTGTCGCCACGATCACCGCGATCTGCTCGCCCGCCGCCGCCACCATTCTTTGGCTTCCAGGGTTTCTTCCTGTTCCCTCCAGATGAAGAGGACTCCGGCATGAGACGGTGCCGGTACTTCGCCACCCAGTCCTCCTCCGAGAGCAAGAGGTTGCCGACCTTGTCAGTGACGGCCTCGATCCCGAGGCGATCTTCCGCCATCTTGAGCCGGCCAACCAACTCCTCTATAGTGAGGGTCTTGAGATCAAGTAGTGTCTCGATCGAGATCGCAATCTGCGCGTATCGTTGGGGAAGAACGCGCAGCATCTTCTTCACCACTCGGGCGTCGTCGATGCTCTCGCCAGATGTGCGCAGGTCCGCCGCCAGTGCGCCGATGCGCAGGGCGAACTCGTCCACCGTCTCGGAATCCTTGAACTTTATGTTCTCGAATTCCTTCAATAGGCGTTGAGCATTGGCCTCCTTCGCGCGATCAGCGCCGACCCTCATGCTCTTCACCACCTCCCACGCCTCCTTGACGGTTTTCTTTGCGCCGAGCAGCTGCCACATCTCCTGCGGCACGGAACGCAAGATGCCGGCCATGGCCTGCCGGTCCCGCGATCTCTTCACACCTTCGCTGCCAGGATCAATGGTGTCCCAGATCTCAAGGGTCTCAAAGTTGCATTGAAGCAACATCGCCCACTCCGCATAATTCGAGCAGGTGAGCATCGGCCACATGAGCGAGCTCTCGCGAACCCGCTCTCCTGCGCCGCCGGACGTTCCCGTGTCGCCCATCTCCTCTGCCGCCGGGCTCCTCCGAGGGATGACGAATTTCTTCCGGGCTGGCTCGCGCGGTGGGCTCACCGAGCCACTATAGAACATGCAATGCTCTGATACCAAATGTTGACGCCGTGTGCCGGAATGGCTGTCACGACGGCGATCGGCAACGCCGGCGAGCTCTCGGTTCTCTCAGAACACGCACACACACAGAACGCAAAAAAGAGAGAGTGTTTCCGCCGCACACTGTCGCGGCCGTTTTTGACTTGCTTTGTTCTCTTTATTGAATGGTGTACATGATCCTCAGATCCGCTATCCCCGCCACGCCCGTGCACGCTGCGACGTGCCCGCCTAAAGCGCGGGGCCGTTTTACATCCGTGCGTGACGAGAGACCTAGTCGCCGCACCGTGAACGCAGCACGGTTCTGACGCTACACCGACTGAGCCATATCCAGCTAACTGAACGACTGAACCTGAATGTAAACATGCCAATGCACTAATCCTATTTACATCATGATCATGATCGTGCTCGGGATTGAAACTAACAACTCCTGCACGCCGCCCTCGCGCCCCGTGGCGTCGCAGTAGCCGAACGGCCCGCACGCGCCGTAGTGGAGGCAGCCGCCATTGCCGGGGCCCTCGAAAAGGACGGTCCACGACGACGACTCGACGTTCCAGACGCGGAGCCTCACGTTCCCCGTGTAGTCCAGCTTCCAGTGCGTCGTCGGGCCGCCGGCGGCGTTGTACGCCGCGTAGATCACCTCCCCGTCGTCGACGATCTGGGAGTATATGAACCTGGTGATGGCGGAGGCCCCCGCGCCGTTCCACACGCCGCTGCGCCATGAACGACGACGATTCTCACCCCGCCAGATGATGATCTGGAGGCCCCAGCCGGTGGGGTCGCCGCTGAGGGAGAAGTCGCCGGCGGAAGGGTCCCGAGGGCCCTTCCAGGCGACGACGCACAAGGCGGTGTGAGCCTTGTAGTTGGTCCACAGCCTGAAGGTCGGGAGGATGGTGTCCGTGGGGTGGTCGAGGCTCTTCCATGCTACTACACCTGTGCCATTGGGCAGCTGCAGCTCGAGCTCGAAGCTCCCCGTGCTCCGGAGCACTCCGGAGCCTCCGATGATGCTACCGGCGACGGCGACATTGTTGTCTGTCGCCCAGACTGTGCGGCCTTCGGAATCGGACAGCACGAAATCGGAAGTGTTGGTGAGAGCTAGCTTCGCTGAAGGCATGGTGATTGGGCTGTCGCGGTTGGCGACCCAGACGTAGGTGCGCTCAGGGATGTTGTTGTACCATATGCCGAGGTACAGGCTTGGGGTTGAGTTGGTGGTGAGGTTGAAGAAGCCGAGGGAAAACATGCCACCGTCGTCGGAGATGAGCTTGTCGCCGGGGTAGAGTGGTCTTACTGAGGCTAGGCGATCAACGACGGATTGGCAGGAACAAACTAAGAAGAACAAGAAGATGATCAATACAGCATGTTGGGATGCCATATTCTTTTGCGATCGATGTACTATATACGCTCTAATATTCTTTTGGGATGACAGAAACAAACGAACACCAGGAAGAAGATCTTCCCAAGGCTGAAGAGCATAGTAACAGTATATATAGACTGAGAGCTGATCAGGCCGTCTGGACTGGGTCGAATTATTCTACGTCTACATCATCAGAACGGCACACAAGTAGCAACATGTCACCGTTGAGGCAGCAAGACATCAGTTAATGTTCCCTCTGTTGAAAGGCATTAGTCATTTTATTTTATTTTAGTTTAATATGGTCCACATATATATGGGTTCCTTTGTATCTGATTTGAATGACGATAGCAAGACACCAGTTAATGTTCCCTCGGTGGAAAGGCATTTTTAGTGCTCTGTGTTTCCCGGGTCCTGGCTTTCCTCTTGCACTTCTTTTCTGTTCTTGTCTCCCCCTGCAGTAACCCCCAATTACCGTTGTTTTCTGTTGTTCGTTTGTAACTCTATCTTAATGAAAAACGTGACTCACGGTCGAGAAAAAAAATTATTTAAATATATGGTCCGCATGTGTTTGGATTAATTTGCACTCCCTCTATTCTAATCTTAATTATAATTTGTTTAGCTTTATTTAAGCCAAATTCTTTTAACTTTAGCCAAAATTATAGAAAAATATACCAACATCTACTACTACAGAAGACAAAACCTATACCACCCGTCACAGCCAGGTGTAATGGAGCTGACAGTGATCCGACTTGACCAGGCAGCGACAGCGTGACAATTGAGCCTGATTTGGGTAGGATCACCTGTTTTCTTTTCCTGAGATCTGCATATGACAATGCGACTTATCATCTTCAGTTTGCAGTTTATTTGTTGACTATAGTAATAGTATAGCTTATGCAAATGTTTTCACATATCTTGAATTCCTGTTACTGAACTTGGACACTTGACACACACTTAAACTAACGACTAAACAATCAGTAATCTGGTCTGTGGCTTCTCCGCAATGTGGCCCACCACGGCTCATATCACACCTGTCGGCCCGATTTTTTTTTTTTTTTAGCCTTTTTTTTGAAAAAAATTCACAAATATGCCTCTTGGAGGTATTATTTCAAAATCTGGACCCTTAGATCGGCGCCATCCATGGCGCCGATCTTACATGTCTCGGCGCCATAGATTTTGGCGTCTAGGTCTTGGACTCGGCGCAGACGTGGCGGTGACCTGGCAGGCACCTTGGCGCCATAGATCTTGGCGCCGAGCTTGGCGCCGTGGTTATTGGCGCCGAGAACGGTGCCAAGATCTATGGCGCCGAGGTGGTGTTTTAACCCGGCGCCCAACCTTTCTGCCCGAGCCTTCCTCCTCTTCTTTCTCCTCCCTCTCGGGTTTTTTTCTCCCCACTTCGCCCTACCTCACGAATTGGCATATTGAACCTTGAAAACTTTGATTTGATCCGTATATCTTCGAGAGTAAGGTATCCTCGCTCCCTCCTAGTTTTTTTTCAAATCGATTCAGTATATATTAGTCGGATTTTTCAACTTAAGAATCATCATTACTTAGGGTTTCATGCAATTTTAATATTTATATTATACAACCGTAGGATGTCAAGGCGTGGAAAAGCTACCAAACCAAGGTAACCTCAGCGCACGTTGTTATAATATGGGTTCATTGTTGTGGATCAAATGGAAAACCCTAGGTGTAGGGTTTAATGTTAATTGCTTTCGGTTCTTAGAACGAAAATGGCTAAATTGTAGTTATGGCCGGATGACCGAAAATGCCTTCGACCCATTGCCTCTGCCTAGTGGTGTTCCAGTGCCCATGTGCTTTTGCGGCGATCCTTGCAAGGTAGCTAAGTCCGATGAAGAGGGCACGTATAGGCAGAGGTATTGGATGTGTTCTAATCTTGCGTTTGAGCCTACACTTCGTCAGCGCCGCATTAACAAGATGGTGAGGAATTGATGTTTGTGTCATATGACATCTTGCATGATTTTTTTGTTTTGTAACAATTGCAATTTTTGTAGACCCCTCCACCGCTCTGTGATTTTGAGCAGTGGATCGACACTGAGATCAAGCCTGAAGACAAGGAATGGATGTAGAAACTGTTACGGTGAAAGGCAGAGGACAAGGAGATGATGGAGAAGATACACGGAGAGGAGGCTGCAGAAAAGGAGCACAAGGAAGAGAAGGAAAGGAGGCGTGTTGCTGCATACAGGGAGGAGAGGGAGAAGAAGCTTGAGCGTGCACGCCGAGCGAAAGCAGCGATGGAGGAGAATCCCGATGCCCTAAGGAAGGGAAAGTGGCCTCGTTGCACTCAGTAGTCTCCATTACTTATTAGTTCTATGGTTTATTCATGAACAATGTTGTTTACTGTTGGACTTTTCATTGTGTTGTCATGTAATGCACTTTAAGTATGGGCATGCTTAGGTCATGTACTGTGTTATTTAGTTTATCGGCACGTACTTCTAGTATTATTGTGTTGTTTAATGTGTCATAGTATTGGCCTTTTTATTATGTAGTTGTTTTTATTATTTGTGGTCATAATATTCAGTTTAATATTGCGGATGTAGTGAAATGTGATCACGTGCTGCAAACAAAACATAACGAAGTAGGACATTATATAATTGAACACACAAAACACATGAATGGCATGTGAGAACATGTACCGAACTAGGGTACAGAGGTCCTGAACTAAACCTAACATGCTTTAGGTAATTGAAGCGAACAACAAGCACAAGAAATTTTATGTGAGAACATGTACCAAACAAGGGTACATAGTTCCTTCGACTAAACCTAACATGCCTTAGGTAATTAAACCAAACAACAAACACATGGATGTGCCATGTGAATAAGGTAGGGTCGTCCTAGTAGTGTGGCCACATAGCAAATTGTGTTGCACCTTCTCCACAGTAGCCTCCCATTGTTGGTGGTGGTGGTGGCAGGGGTGACGGCGGAGGCCCCTTGTTCTTGTGATTAGGGCAGGTGCAATATGGATCATTGCAGAGTGCCTCCTGTGAACTTGCACCATTGTTGTTGTTGTCGTCTTCGTCTTCCTTGTACCCGCTGCTAACTTCCCTTTGTAGATCGAAGATTTAGTCCTGCAGGTAGTAGATGTACTGCTGATGTGGATAAATTGGTCGAGGATTGATCCACCTAGTGAACCCATAGTTTTCTTTGAACTCAGAAGACTACAATAAGTATGTCCTATGAGTTGTAAGGGTATTCGAGAAACATATTTAACAAACGAAATGTAATAGCAATTACCCATGCTCGCGGGCATTTGAAGAAGCGACAACCTCCGTCGATCCCCTCGGTGAACATCTGCACTAAGTAGTCCTCACCATGCATGCATTTTGGCCAATCTTCCTTCCTGTTATCGTATCCTCTGAGAGGGCACTCTAGTGAAATCACTCTTGCTCTCGGGGGAAAACTGATACACTAGTTCCTCAAAGAAATTAGGCCTAAGAGACCCCTCCCACACAATGGGAGTTCCCTTCGTCCCCCCCCCTTTCCTCTCCCACTTTCGAAACTCTTTCCTCTAGATGACCCTCCAGACATTCCTACTCCAACAAAACCGAATACTAGTTTGGTTTTCCTTTTGGTTAGCAATGCATCCTAGAACGCATATATATAGGCGGAGGCAGGTTTGCTAGCCATTGTATTGTGCTGTAAATGCTCCTGGAAAGTCTACTCAGAATCACTGAAAAGCCTTCATCGTAGGACACTGAAGGGCCTAGATTCCATGACTGAAAAGCCTATTTGATTTCAGACTTCAGTCACTATTTTAAAGGACACTGAAAAGTCTATTCGACGGTGACATAACAAATCACTGTAAAGGCTATTTCCCCTAGATTCCATGACTGAAAAGCCTATTCGATTTTAGACTTCAATCTCTATTTTGAACCAGAAAAACTGATGCCGCTGATTAATACGTACTTTAGGCAGAAAATTTCGCCATAATTTCCCCTATTTTTTGGTGCCATCCATACACAAATATGAGATGAATATTTAACATCAATACAACATGTACAAACATACAAATATATGCCACATACATCTGAAACCATATACATGAGCATATTAATAGTCCACACAGTCCATAATTATAGTCCATAGTAGTTCATATTCGATAATAATAGTCCATACAGTCCACAATAGTTCATAATGAAAGTCCACAAAGTCCATAATACTACATAATAACATCTACCACAAACCCTCACTGCCTCCTAGTCTTACCCTTACCCTTGGGACTAAGAGCGTCGGTGCCTGGAGTGTAAGGGTCAGGGGGACGGCGTCGCCTAGTGCCTGAAGACTGTGTAGGCTGAGTCGAGGGAGCGTCCTAGAGCTGAGACGGGCCAAGCTCCTCATGCCTCTGGTCCACCTTGTCGTCATCCTCATCCTTGTCCTTGTACGCAATGCCTATGGACCCTATAGGTGCTTGGCTAGACGAACCTAAGCCTCCTCTGCCTGCGGAAGGAACGTGAACGTCTTGCGTCGTGGCTGTCTTGCAACCACAACGAGTAGCTAGACGACATAGCTGACATGACAGTCTCTGTTAGATGCTATACTAAACCATGTACGGCTCCCACGTACAGTCTTTGTCCTGAAAAGGAAGTGCCCCCTCTCCATCGTACGGCTCCCACGACACCTGCAACATGTCCAAATAAGATGTTAGATGCTATAGTAAACCATTTCAAACCAGCATGGAAAATAAAATTTACTTACACTAGATGTCGTGAGCGTGTCTAGCTCATTCATGAATTGAATGTACGCCCACTCTAACCTTGCGTGTGTAACCCTAACCTAGTCCCAAAGGTACGCCCACGTTGGCTGCCGACGTGGAGGCTGACCTGGGAACCACTCATGACTAGCCAGAACCTCGGGACGGCCAACTGGTAGATGAGCCCACATCCACAACTGGAGTAGGTACACGCATCCACCAAGTGACGATGAGGACGAAGTCCAACGACACGCCTCGCAAAGCTGCCGGTAAAGAAAACCCAACAATGTAGAGCCCCAGCTGTACTGAC